ACGTCAACGAAAACCTCAACAGGAGAGTCGTATTTGTCAGGGTGGGCCATGGGGGTCGTACTCATGGAGGTCAGTAACGTCAGTGGCATCGTGGTGCAGATAGGAGAGAGAGGGTGTAGCGCAGCAGAAAATAATGGTATGTGAGAAAACATGATATTAAATATTCTTTGCAGGTTTAGTCGCTCCGTCGCTCTACCTTCGAGAAGGAGGTTTTGAAATTACTACGAAGAATGAAGTGCACCTTGTAAGGAGCAGGGTCACATGTGCACACACGCTGCGAAGGCATTTCCTCCATTTACCACCCGCTCCCTCACCCTCAGCCTCATTGAGAATGTCACTGTCATCTGGGACGCTGTCGCAAAAAAACGGCAACAGTTCTGGAAAAGACGAAACTGGGGCAAATGAAAGCTGTTCCTGTAGGTTACTACAATAGTTTCTGTCAACAGGTCATCATCATATGTGTAATTCCTTTCAATAGATTCTACAACTTGAGTGGAGGTCGGATGCATGGCCTATACTGAGACGAGATCGGACGATGACGATTGCCCCTTTTCTTGTCGCTTACGTTGGGAGAGATTCATTCTAGACACATTTCGCCAACGAATTAACTTGCAATGGTGAAGAAGGGAGCGGTCAATATTGCCCGGTAGCACCAAATCCAGCTCTGTCTAACCCTACCACACACTGCTCCAAAGGTTGTGAAATGGGGGAATGGAACCTTTTCATCGAGAGTGTAGATTTCGACGGTTTCGAGCGGGGTTTCGGCAAATCTGACCCACGGATAAACCGCGCTGCAACTGAATGCTTTGCTGTACATTAATGGAACTCGCTTATTCACATCAAATCAAAGTTATAGGGGTCGTATCAAGAGGGAGGCGGTCGTACTGAGGTGACCAGGCCTCGACACGATTTTCACCCTGGTCGCTACACAATGAAGAAATCACGGTACGCTGAGCCTTGGAGCTCGACAGCAATGTCAGATGACGTCATATTCCGAAGGCGTCGACGACAATGAAGAAGGGCTTGCTTCTGCTCATGGGAAACATCGAAGGAATATTATGTCTCTAAGCTTCCATAGACGCGAGCACCCTCTGCGACGATGGTTTGTTAATGTGCGTCATGAGCCAAAGGATTTTTTTGCCTTTCTTCACACCCCCCCCCCTCCTGTGTATAGTTGCATACTTGAGATTTCTGGCAGTGTCGGGCAGCAAACATTTTGTCTTTTTTAACCCAATTCTTTCTTTTTTTTCTTTTCCTTACCAACTATGTTCAGAGATGGAGCTGTGGGTTGGAGAGGCTGGCTAGAGAAGCTGTGCAAGGCTGCCCTAGTAAAATACCAGAGAATCCATTGTATGCAAGCAATGTACTATTGTGAGTATTGAATATTCTCATGCTGCAACTCTAAGACAGGGTCAACGGTCCGTTCGCACAATTCGAACCAGGGGGTCGCATTTGTGGTCTCGGAAAGGAGGGCAAGTCGCATTTTGGGGTCGAGCGAGGTTAATAATCTTTGGAGAAGTCCAAAGGGAGGGCGTGAAAAGTGGTTGCCATTTTTGTGGGTTTTTTTTGACAAAGTTGATGAAAGTAAAGTTCTACGAAGGTAGCGTAAATTTGATCAGAACTGGAGGACCGCTTCATACAAATTCAACCCCGCTTACCCCCACCAGGTCGACTGCGGTTTAGGAGGGAAGAAAGTGGGCAGAGGGTGTGTCGACTGATCTCAGAATCAGATACTGAGAATCAAATACCATAGAAGCAGCCATGATGCTAGGATGATGGTTGGAGAAGTGGGAAGGGGGCTCGTATTGGGGGAACCGTTCTAAGACTGATGGTGGTGGTCGCATCGAGACCTTTTGCAAAATTTTTCAAAAAGTGTGAACGCGTCAGTTGACTCTGTTCTGAGAGCGCACTTTATGGTTTCAAAGCGTTCTCAAGCTCTCAAAGAACCACATTGATGTGTTAGGAGATCTAATCTGAATAATTAAATCAGAGGACAGTTAAACTTCAGAAAGTACTTTGAGTCTGCTAGATATTTTAAAGGCATGCCCCAGGATCACATTGGTGTGGCTCTTGCACACGAATGCGAATGTATTGGTGCGAAGTGGGCCGGCAGTAAAGAAAAAAGGAAAAGAATCCGTCGAAAAACGCTTAGGTTAAGGGCTCACTAATCGGCTGTGCTAAGGGAATGAGAGACTAAGCGCGGAGAGGAGAGTATGAGGCGAGAGAGCGCTACAGATGAGAGATTGCCAGACAACAGCCTGATAAAGGATAAAGGATAAAGCATTTGCCGTTGATCAATCCCTTTTTGGGATGCGGCACGCATTCTACTTCCATTTGTACATTCGTAGTGGCGTTTGAATGCGATGTGGCCTATACAATGACTTGCGGGGGCCAGCCGATGTACAAGTCAGTGTTTTTATCCTCCCAGACAAGTCTGGTACCAATTAACCGACCCCGGAGGGATGGAAGGCTTGGTTGGCCCGGGCGACTCACGACCCAGGATTTGATCCCCGGACCGCTCGCGTGGTAAGCGTGCCACTTGCCACTACACCACTTCCGCCCAGATGAGAGATTGCCAGACAACAGCCTGATAAGAGAAAAAAAGTCTGCAGCTTGGGCAGCTTACTTTGCAAGGCCCAAGCGCTCTTATCGGTTGGTTTCCGTGCACGAGAACGCCACATTTGTGATTGTCCTCTAGGGGTCTATACTACAGACCGAAGAGAAGCGTTCACACGACCTCTGCCTGGGTTGTGCCTTTAAGACCATGAGTGCACATTTTATGTGATTGCTCATATTTTACGTTTTTGTATCAGGGCTCAGACTTTCGGTGTTTTTCAGCTTATCAAACGAACAAAGGAAATTATATGATGAACTGGAGCTCGAAAGTCCTCTCAAAATGCGGTTCGACGATTTCGCTAGCGGACGCTCTAGATACCAATGGGGCAACATGGTATTGAACTTCCAGGGCCCCGAAGGATTGAGGTCGCTTGCAAATGTAAGAACAGCCTTCACAGGACACTTTTTTGTTGAAAAATCAACTACGTCTGACAGATTTATCGTGCGGTAACACTTTCCGTCGGTTGCTCTCAGCAGACTTGCAACGACAAAGCCACCGCCGTGTGTTTCTTTAGCAAACCGTAAGCCTTACTTCCATACGTCTGCTCTGATTCTAATCAGCTCCTTTAATATAGAACAATTAGCCTCCTGAGAAATAGCGAAGTAGTGATGCTTGCAGTGTACAGCCCTTCTTGAGTACTCGCAGAGCAGTTATCAGCGCTATAGGAGGATACGGGGGCGTTCTCTAGGACCAGGCTCAGAGGGGCAAGAACCGAGGAGAATGTATTATAATTTGCTCAGGTACATTGGAATCTCTCCACCTTCGCCTAGGTTTTGTACCAATGTCAACAAAAAGGAGATGAGCGAGAAGTAGGCGTCAAAAATGAATGTCATATCCGTAATAAAATCACCAAATACGAATATTCATTTTTACAGCTAACTCGGATATAAGAGTCGTCGTTTTGAAGCGGCTCCAATTTGCGTGATCGTCAAAAATTAATATGACATTCGTGATCAGGGCAACGAATTCACTCTATTGACAATGTTTCGACGAAAAAAGTCTTGGAATTCTGAGCTTGAACAGCTGATTGGAGCCTGATTTTCTAACAAATAATTTTTCTAAAAAACAAAGCATTATAAAGAACGACCAATAAGGGACAAAAGCTTCGTAGAGTGGTTTTGGAAAATGGACTTATCCTCGGGCAGACGCATCTATGGGATTTTAGGCTTGAACGGAGTTTCAAGATAGGTACTGTGTAGCAAGATATCATAGTATCCGATTTGATGAGGCCAGACAGGCCGAGAGGAGCCAAGAAAATTCGTGGTAAAATAACGGTGAGCAGTGAACATGATGTTTTCGGCTTGCAGTGAGCTCAAGATGGGTCAGTTGATATACAAAGCAGGTACGCCTTGTGCAACAGATAAAGATTGCACGACGTCACGTGCAATGAAACATTATGCCAAGTTCCAAGTTTCGAAACTGTTCCTGCAGGTTAGCTTTCGCTTCGCGTAGCTAGCAATGGACCGGATTTCTAGTTATCTTCTATTAAGGTAAAAGCGATCAGTGCTCCAGCAACACAGGAATGACAGACAGCCTGAGAGAGCACTTCCTCAAAATGCATAATTTCCGTAGGTTAGTGTACAACTACTCAAAAAGTGTTTCTCCTAGCTATGTAAATATTCATTCAGATCAAATATGGCTCTGGGAAAATGAAAAAATTCAATGGCAAGTTCTTCAAAAAGGCCGCCGACATGGAGAAGATGGTATGGCTTCCCCCTACGAATTTCGTGATTTCTTTCCAACTGCTTCTAGGAGTATGACTGCGACCTGGAAGCTGACGCAATGATCTACGCTGAAACATGTACACTTGTGCCGTCCTATCCTGGCACTAGGAAGGGTCAGGGAGAGAACGTAGCTGTGGTGGAGCCTCAGAGTGCGGAAAGTTTCGACAAAGCTGCTCAATGGGTTAGTTTGACAACGTCAAGTTTTCGACTGCAGAAATAACTGAGCAATGTGAAGCAGATGTATTGCTCAGGCCATGCGATCGTGGTTCAGACCGATTAGGGAAGGACGGTACCATTGGAGTTAGAGAAGTCATATTCAAGGAGAGACACAGAAATACCCCTGTAGCTCTAGCGACTCAGGTGAGACCTTATCAATATTTTTTCTTATGAATTTGAGTTTACTTGATGTGGAGCAGGGATGTCATTCGTACATCAATGGTTATTTGATACATAGATTGTGTGGTCAACCACGAATAAAGTCGGATGTGCCATTGGAAAATGCGGCGGCTCCTATTTTGTCGTGTGCCGATATTCACCACGGTAAGCACAGCTTCACTCAGAAAATTGAACAAATTTATCTTCGCCAAGAACTCACCAGTGTGCCAGAAACGGGTTCAGATTCGAGTATTTTTATCTGTCGCTTCCGAAATTGGTTTCCTGTAGTCTCAGGTGCTCAGAAGATGAGCTCATGCTTTGTCGCGGAAACGTCGGGGAAGGGTGCCCGGCTTGCCCAAGACCGCCCTCCAGGCCTTGTTCCCGGTGCGACAGATCGGGGTTCCGGATCCCCTTCTCTCAACTAGAGGGTGCCTGTCCTAGCGGGTCATCCCGGGGACCGTGCCGTTTTCCCCCGACACGGCGCCGCTCCCCGAGGCATCTACGCAGCACAACATAAGCATGCACAACAACCGATACATTGGACGGTATAGCGCACAAGTCGGGCCCCTTGCCCTGGCGCTCCCTGACCACTAGTTCCACACATGATAATACAACACATATAAATACTCACATTTATTAGAGGTCCTTCCCTGAACAATCGTCCTACTCTTATGTCCTGCCGCGTCGGATCTGACCGTGTCCTCGGTAGGG